ACATCGAGCTTTTATCAGAAGTTTGAAATGGCAAAGTTATCATATAAAAGTCTCAGATATCAATGCACTGGGTTATTTGATCATATAAATTTAGAATTTTTGAACATAATATATTGTGATATATTGCCTTCCGAATTCTGGTTCCATCAGAAATGCTTTTTTATAAAATATTAAATTATATGGTGTATACCAATAGATTCTTTCTTTGAGGACAAAACACAAGCACTACAGATGAATCTTTGAGCCACTCTCAGAGCGGTGCCTGTGCGAAAGTAGCGATTCACATTGGATTTGAATGGATGGAGATCAAATCCATTTCGAAAAACGTTCTCAGGAAGATTATTCCACATGAACACAGTTCTCCAGATGAAAGAGTTCTTAAACAGTGAAGTTCGAGGTGTACTGAGTTAAACCACAATCCGTCGTGTATTTCTTTCTGATATGTACCGCTCTTCGTGGAATCAAATATGCCAAGTCACTTGAACCCTTCACGTGAAAGTATCTATAAAAGAGAGAAATCTCCAACCATTCTCCGATGTTCCAGACTATCAAGGTTGCAAGTGATGTTCGCGTCTCCAATCAGGCGGATGGCTATTTTCTGGATCGAATCCAGCAAATACAGGGTATGTTGGTGGGCAGGGCTCCATACATGAGAATAATCCTCCAAAAAAGGTCTGATCTGAACTTTATAGAGCATCAAAAGTTGCTGAGGTGTGTACAGTTTTCTGTTTCGGAACAGTGTTCCAAGCTTTTAAGAAGCAGGCTTTGCAATTACAGTGACATTATTGTGCCAAGACATATCGATGTCCATTTCAACCCCCAACAAACTTATCGAAGCAGAAAGCGGAATTGTCTGACCTGACATTATTTTATCCGGTTCGGAGACATTCATCTTCTTGGAGAAAACCGATGCCTGGGTTTTTGTGACATTGAATTGAACCTGGTTCACTTCTAGATCCTCATTAAGATATGCAACCTTTTGCTGCCGGTGAAGATATGCCTCCGTAGCCGATGTCCTGGAATCCAAATGGAATGACGAGACAAGTGTGCTGTCGTCAGCAGAACTATATATTGAATTCTTGTTTTTCCCCAATGAGTCGTTGATATACAATAAAAAGAGAGTTGGAGAGAATATGGATCCCTTGGGAACACCAGTGCTGTCGAAAAATAATTTCCGGCATTGTGGACTCTAGTGTGGGAATGGTGGATGGTCCCTTTCCCAGAAAATCGATTGTGGAGTAGGACGAAAATTGTTCAGCTGGTAGTAGATTTGCTATTTCAATTGAACCACCCGCTTGTGATAGTGGTGGAATCAACAGCTCTAGGTACCGACCAGGAAGATTTAGCCCTGTTGTGATTGGCAAGCAGTATATTCCTAATTTTCTGATTGTCAAGTTCTTTGCTTTCATTCATCCTAACTCTCCTCTGTCACCGAGCTGAAATCCGTTCAGCGGATATATATATATATATCGACATAACGCAGCCCTTCGAGTGCTTTATCACCACCAAAGTCACTCTTACGGTATTGATGAGATACAAGTGTTGCCCTACACTCCGGGGGATATTGGATCCTCTGTGGGAAACGAGTAGTGCCAAATTTATCGAAACTATTTGTTTCCCACCCTCAGGTTCATACAAGCTAATGAGCCAGATGTAGTATTTCTCGACCACCAGAGTACGACATTATTTGTCGTGGAGTTTTCAGCTCCTGGTGAGACAGACAAAATGGTTGTTCTGATTATTGGATTCCTTGGTGGAATGATGCCCTCGCTACTCTCGAAATCATTCCGGCTTGCCGCACTAAGGCCAGAATCTCAGTCGGACAATTGCAGAAAGCTGTCATTATTGGCTCACTGCGCTTACTTAGGGCACATGATTCTCGAACACAATGATCACTCACCACACGGTGTGATGAGTGGTTGTTGTTTGATAATGCTGGCGTGCCCTCCTGAATGTATGGGTGCTTCGGAGGATTGGGCCTCATCAGCACAAACGTGGGCTGAAAAAAACGTCCAGGAGATAAAACATACTTATATATATATAAAAACAAGGAAAAAATCAAAGCAAAAAAATTATCGAAGCAAATAACACGGTGGAGAAAAACAAAAACTGCATGGAAATAGATAAGATAAGGTCGTTTTTGAAACTCTTTCTGAGGGTAGCAATTTTCATCAACTGAAAAAGTTTTCAATTTTGATTTCGAAAAATGTATATCTAGGGCTACTGTGTTGTTGTACATATATAGTGTATATTCAGTCTAAGACCGTTCTTCAATAAGTATTGAGCCACACTAGTCTCCAAAATTGGATATGTACTAAATGTTATATGAAACGAGTTAGATCAGATAGTCTGTCAGACACACTTTTCGTCGCAGTCCTCAATCCAGTTTGTGTCTGAAGTTACTTCTTTGCATGATCTACACATCTTTGTTTAGAGTAAATTTTCGAAATTGATTGCTTCCTTCCTTTCTATCAAGATGGAGAAGTAGAAGGCCAAAAAATGTCTTTCCCTCATTTCATATATTTCAGACTTACTGAATATTCGTTCAAGTAAACAAAAATGTGATCATATCCATGAATGAATGAATGAATGAATGAATGAATGAAAGTTTATTGACTACCTTACATTACATAATGTTTGTAGTAAGTCCAAATAATATCTAAAAAGAGTACAACACATAGAGAAACAAAATAAGATAAAATAAAATTTTAAAATATAGTACACTACTACTAGCTATTGTAAAGTGTCGCAGTGGCGAGTGCATTCCATAGAAATACACTAGCGATGTCGAAAATGCTCCATGAAATCACTGACAGAATAAAAACAATTAGTTAGTAAAAATTCTTTTAAGCGCTTCTTGAATTTATTGTTTGATAGGATTTTGTATTCCTGCGGTAACAGGTTGTAAAGATTATAATTTAGAGAGTTTTTCTGTGATTTGGTTAAGCGAAAACGATCAGTACGAATATTGCCTGCAGCTCTGGTATAATGATTGTGAATATCGGATTGTTTGCGCAGACACATTCGATTTTTTTGGATCTCGAGCAGAACCGAGAAAATGAATAATGAAGGCAAAGGCAAAATGCGTAATTGGGCAAAAAGGGGCTGGCAGTGATCACGAAAACTCACATTGGCAAGTATCCTGATTGCTTTTTTTGAAGTCGGAAAATATCTACAGCACTAGAGGCGTTTCCCCAGAGTACAATCCCACAAGTAATGACAGAGTGAAATAATGAAAAATATACATTTTTGAGTGTTGGAAAACTTGTAATTGGCTTCAGTTGACGAAGCAAAAAAATTGAGCTGGCCAATTTACCTCGTAGGTCATCCGTATGATTTTGCCAAGATAATTTACTATCTAGGTTTATGCCTAACAATTTCACACTGTTATCACTCGACATAGTACTAGACAAACAAAAGGTGAGATTCTTTGTTTTTTCATTATTCAGTTTCAGTTTATTTAATGAAAACCACGTTTCAGCACTTGAGAGTGAAATTTTTACAGACTGTTGCAAATCCGGCAAGGTGTCACCTGAAAAGATGAGCGTAGTATCGTCAGCAAATGAAACTGACTTATAGGGATGTAAAAAATTAGGTAGATCATTGATGTAAATGATGAACAATAGAGGGCCGAGGACTGAGCCCTGGGGCACTCCATGTTTGATAGGTTTATAATTAGATGTACAGCTGTTATATGTGACAGCTTGTAAACGATTTGTTAAATATGAGGCAATAAGCGATAAAGCTACACCTCTTATTCCATAGAACTGCAGCTTATCCAGAAGAATAGAGTGAGAGATGCAATCAAACGCCTTAGATAGGTCGCAGAGTGTGATGGCGGTTATCTTGCCCTCCTCAAGGCCCTCGACCACATCACTCACCACCTTGAGAACAGCTTGCGATGTTGATCTCTCTCTTCTGAATCCGAATTGTGAGTGGGTAAAAAACCTGTTTTGTTCAAAATAGTTGTATAGACGCTGTTTCAGGAGAGTCTCGATTATTTTAGTGAAGATAGAGATGATAGTTATTGGTCGATAATTATTCGTATCCGAAAGGTTCCCTTTTTTATGAAGAGGTAACTCTGCCTCCACACCAATGGCACCTTCAAAACTCTCCAAAAAATCCTCTACATTGCCTTTTGGTGATTTGTAAACTGTTAAAACGACTAGTTTAATATCAATCAGAACTATTGCACAAAATTCGGCATTTTATTCTGCGTTGAATGCAGACAAGTCTAAGGTCAGATATCTTAGTCCCGATTTTGTATAAATTGCAGTGCCACCTCTACTTAAACGAGTCCTGCAATAATAAGCTGCCAGGAGGTAGCTATCCAAGTTGATGATGGACAGATTATTTTCAGTCTGCCAGTGTTCAGACACGCAAACAATGTCGAAAGGCAATTCTGACAGCATCAAATCAAACATTTCTATTTTATTCGACAAACACTGTGCGTTTATATGGAATACACTCACCTCAAGTTGGCTATTTAAAACGTCACATAAATCAACATCGTTTACAGTATTGGTAGGATTCATTGGACAGCCTCTGTTGAAGGCTGAGTCCATTTTGGTTCATATGGAAAACAATGAACTTTTGATCAGTTCCCTTTTGAGAAGTTGAAATTGACGAATATTCTTCTTGAATTCACAATTGTACTCTTGCTAAATGATTTCTCGATATTCAAGTCTACAGTTCATGAGAGAGGAGTATCAGCTATTCAACAAACTCTTATGATCAGGTTGAAAATGAATCAGTCCAATACTCAATAAAAGTTACAAACATATTTCAACATTTACATTATTTCATATGGGACGTTCTGGAATTTCTGAAAATAATTGTGAAATATTTTACATTACATTACATTTTTCTATAATAAAAAGTATCATTGTTTATACACTTATAACTCTACAATTAATATAAGAAGCATCTATTTTATATTATAAATGATAAATTGAGTAATAGTGTCATAATAATAATATAATATATGTTGCATAAAATCTTCACTCCAGAGACCAGTCCACTGGTTGTAGTCCAGCACGGATCAGGATTTCATTGGCGATAGAAAAATGTTCACATCCCATAAAGTCGTTCATCTCATCATCAGATGACGGATCACCTGCAAGGAGAACCTTACTGTCTCCATTAACGTTAACGTATTCCTTCATTTTCCAAGCAACTCTTCCCCATAACATGAAAATTATGAATCTTCCATTATGTTTTGCGATATTTTGTAAGTACATGATGATGGAACCAACTATTTTCTCCCAGCCTCTAAATCTGTGAGACTGCGGATTGTTTTGCGTCACAGTTAGTACAGCATCCAAGAGAACAACTCCCTGTCTGGCCCAGTTTTCCAAACATCCATGTTGTGGGGGATATCCCCTTAAAGAGGGAGCAAACCGAGAGTTAGATATATCTCTCTGAACCTCATCGAGAACCTTCTGCAATGATGGTGGTATGAGGTTATTTGGACGGTTCACACTGAAGCCCATGGAATTTTTCAACTCTGGTGTAGGATATGGATCCTGCCCAATGATCACTACTTTAACTTCATCTGGATTGCAGAATCTAGTGAAAGCCCAGATATGTTCCTTCGCAGGATTCACCAGTTCCAGAATATTCGCAAGAAAATAGTTCAGCTGTGTCAAGTTTTCCTCATTCTGCTCGAAAACTGAATTGAGTAGCGGATACCAATTAGGATTGATGGAATTTTCAATAACGACGTTGGGATATTTTGCACAGAAGTACGCAATCGATGATGCGTTTTCACTCATTTTGATGAAACTAACTCATCATTAATGATTCGCCATATATTTATAAAGGATACAGTTTAATCTAATCAATACATTATACGATCAATGATATTTAGAATCTCAAATACAGTTTGGGATTGAGATTCGATGTTGAAATCATAAAAAAAATTAGGGTGACCATTATGAAAATATATGTTTAAATTCGAGAGCTGTGAAAAATCTACACAGCCTACACCTCTTTCTTGTAACCTTTCAATGTGTAGATGGAACTGGTGCTCCTAATATTTCTGCCATTCCTCAATGCAAGCAACAGCATATTCATATATGGATACTATAAATGGATGATTTTGCGTTGGATCAGGAAATCCCAGAAGTCATTTCAACAAGTCCATTGGTTTTGGATTGCATGTTCAGATTGTTTGTAGTTTAGAAATATGTACTAAATATCGATGTAAGTTGAACCATACTTACCAGCGTATATAACAACATAACAAGTGATTCGAAACTACGATGCTATCAGACAGGTAGTGATATTTGTAAAGAGTTCTAAGTAGTTAAGAATAATTATCACATACAAATCCATCATCACCAAAAGACGATTGTTGATGAGAGCAATTGAAACATTGCTTCATGAGTTAACTCCTTCTGAAATGAAAAAGTAATTTCTCAAAATGACAATTGGATACTCTCACACTCAGATTCAAGAAAATAAGCTGAATAATACGCCCAACCGAGAAAAAAATGTCTTCATTAGAAAATAAGTTGGATTATATCTGAATATTTATTGAAAGATAAATGATAAAACCAACAGTTTATATCACTAGCACAACGTAATCACTACATATTCAATAGGGAAGAACATTCTTCTCTCATCATTATACAGTATTCACTTCGTCTCTGCTTGCTTCTAATTTTTAATGTGTTTTGGGGTAACTTCTTCCAGTCTTTCAGTTCCTCTTAAATGAGTTGTTTTGTATTTTCTGAATGGTCGGTCGGTAGCCAGGCGATTCGACGTGGGTGCTTTGTTCACTCACTCGAAATGACTGCCGTGTTGGTCGGTGGTTCAAGCCGCAGTCTGAACGATCGATTTTCACTTGCTATCGTCCAACCCGTGTTGGACTATCACACATTAAAAGGTAAGACCTCGTTAATCCTTAGCTCGTCCAAGTTCAGACTTCTGAGAGTTGTCGTTTGTAGGGATGCGACAGCTGGTTAACCGAAAAACATATTTCAAATAGATTTTTTTTTAACCCGACTGATTAATATGCTTCACAAATTTGATTCCATAATATTTTTTCCTAGGAATTTATATCTGGTGAGCAAAGTTACTCACTCAGTCGCTTTTGAAGTAACATTACTTTCTATTACTATATTGGTCATCTTTGCATCATAACCTCAAGTTTTCTACCTTTTTCTTTGCCCCTTGGTAATCTTTATCTTTATAATTTGAATAGGGAAACTACTGAGTGTGATACATCATCAGAGAGATAATTTTATTAGTATGGCATCTACATGACTGTTTATTACGATAATTTTTATTTTGGTGCTTCTCTTGCGGGAAAAACAATGTCATTATGTTACTCCGAAATATTAGACGTTTCGAAACTTACCTATACTCATGTATGGCAGTTAATGGAGAATACTGTGAATTAATGTGCATTGAAATTATGCACGGTTTTCCATTTTTGTGTTGATAAAATGTATTTTTTTTAATTTTTATCTTTTTCCACTTTTCGAATGAAGAATCATAATTTGAAATACGAAATAGTGGTTTTTTTTCCGCAAGAAGACACCATAATGATAAGTTACGTAGTAAACAGTCACATGAATGAATTTCTCATAAAATCACTTTTTTCCGTATTCAAAGGCGTAGGGAGGAAGGTATGGCAGTTCAATCGAAAATCGACCTAATCTAACTTTTGTTGTGATGCAGCTAAGATATATCCATTTCTTTTTCAAAATTTCGAGGAAATTCTGCCCCTGATAAAAACAGCTTGTTACAAATTCTGAACATAGACCATGATATTATAAGATATGACGTGATATTATGTTTCATATCACGTCAAAGTACGATTTCTTAGAATGAAAATTCCAAGAATATAATATCAAATAAAACCACCTACTACTGATAATAAAATCGTCAATTGGAGGTGATAATATCGATCATTAATGAGTGCAAATACCAAAATTTTTTTCATCACATTCTTGATGTTTCTATTGATTTGATTAAAGCAATAACTGTGAACTATTGTATTATAACCATTTTTATCACCCTGGATCATGTAGAAAGCTGTGAATCAACATGACACTAGTGATTAAGAATATACTCCATTTGGATGACATGTCGGGAACCTCCATTCCTTTTCTCGAATATAGAATTTTGAAAAACTGATAAAATTTGTGAACAATTATGTGAACGTCACTACTCGAAAAGGAAACACACACGAATAAATATAGTTTAACCCTTAATTTTGCAATGCGACCTATAAGATACATAATATTCGAACCACATAATTCAGCCAATTGAAATGACATTCATCGAGTGAATTCAACTTGCTATGGTTTCAAATACACTTCAATTGAAAAGAATTGGTAACTACTTACGCCACATCTCGACGCGGATGTGAACTAGGCGATCATGTACTAAGATGACCGCGGCGAGAAACCCGTGATCTTGGCGCCTGGTTAAGTTTTGCTTAGTTTTCACAAGAAATCAGTTTTGTGGAAAAAATAATATGTAAGTTTTGTTGATACATGTTGTCTTCGTAAGAATAAATAAAAATGTTGTTACCAAATTCAGTTTTTTTGTAGAAAAAGGGCATTTGTTTTGTATGTATCCCATAGTTCACATTACCAATTTCTCGAATGTCCATGTCAGATTTATTTTGTATCCAATAATACACATTACCAAATTCTCACAATTTCATATGAACCTTAATATGTATCCTATTGCCTTCATTGTCAAATTTTGAATATGAGTTAGTTATTCCCAAATTGTAGAAAATACACATTCATGAGTGATAAATACTCAAACTCAAACTTTTACAGAATGACCACAAGGAAAGACAAGATAATAGCCTTACTGCTACCTTCTGATTCGGATGGTGGAACAAGCGACGATGATGCAGAAAATTTTGAGGGTAACGGTGACAGTATTCTTCTGATACATCCGAAGCACCCTCTATTCCTGATTCGGTAGCTGAAGAATTAGATTCAATTCTGAGCTATACCGACACCGAAGATGTTTTGTAAGGAGGTGACAATAACTGTGAAGCATTCGTATTCAAGACACCTGTCAAAAATATCCCTCAGTTCACATACACTCCAACACCCAAATCTATATTTACTCCGCTGAAAACAAGATATCAATTGTAGTGATAATAGCAAAGAAAATAATAAAGAGAATACAGATCCTGATAATTTAGAACAAGAAAAAAAAAAGAAAGCAGGAAGAAGCAGAATGGGCAAAATGTGGAAAATTCAGAAAAAAATACAAAGGGATACAAAAAAAAGAAAACCAAAGAGTACGATTACAAGTGGTCCAATGAAAAATTAAATTTTCCTGTCGACATACCCGGCAACAATTTCACATTGCCGGAGGTAATGAAGTTACCTATGGAATATTTCAAAATGTTCTTCTCTGATGACCTCAGAGAGACAGTTATGTATTGAGAACACAAATCTATACTCAGTACAAGTGACGGGAAAATGCATAAATGTGACTGAGGCTGAAATCCGTGATTTCATAGCCATTCATATTTATATGGATATAGTCAAAATGCCTTCATACCTGGATTACTGGAGTCAAAAATTTGGGTACCCAGAAATTGAAGAAATAATACCTCTGAAACAATATCAGCAGATAAAGAGATACATTCATTTTGTCAATAACAGAAATCAGTGAATATTACTGGAGTTTTTTCCCAACACCAAATCGTTATTTTTACACCTCGACACGTGTTTCGATCACCAAGTGATCATCTTCAAGAGGAAGATAAAAACAGTTTTTATCTTGGGAAAAAACTCCAGTAATATTCATTACTACACCAAAGGTTCCAAACAGTATATCACAAGAACAGAAATCAGAATAATGATCCATATTTCAAAGTAAGACCTCTTTTGCATATAGTTAGGAGGAACTGTGTTCAGGTAGAAAATGAGAAAAGGCAAAGTATCGATGAAATGATGATGCCATACAAAGGAAATAAAGCTGGATTCAAAAGGCAATATATCAAATCAAAACCAAAAAAATGGGGCTACAAAATTTTTGTAAGAGCGGGCATATCTGGATTTGTGTATGATTTCCTAGTGTATGGAGGAGAAGACACATTTATTCAACATCAAAACTTCACGGATGAAGAAATGTCGATGGGATTAGGGGCTAAGGTTGTTATTGCTCTTTGTTAGTCCATACGAAATGCACCGTGCACCGCAATCTATTTTGATTGCGGTGCCTGGTGTATTGCTATGTATATTGCGCAACAACTAAGGGATTTTGTCATTGGGAACTATAAGAACAAACCGATTGAAGAATTGCACCCTAGAGAATGACAAAACATTGGCCAAAAGAGGACGAGGTGCTTTTTGTCACAAAACTGATAATGAGAAAAAAATCACATGCGTCAAGTGGTACGACAATAAAGCTGTTACCCTAGTCAGTACCTATATATCTTCTGAATCAATAAGCACTATAGAAAGGTATGACAAAAACAGAAAAGAGAGAGTTGATGTTCCATGTCCAAGTATTATCAAGCATTATAATTCTCACATGGGTGGTGTAAATTTGATGGATATGCTAATCTCCCTCTATCGCATTCGAATGAAAACTCGCCGTTGCTATCTGTCTATATTTGCTCAAATGATAGATATATATGCTTGAATAACGCATGGCTATTGTACTGCAGACATCGACAATTATTGGCTATTGAAGAAAAAGAACTGAGTGTGCAAGAGTACAGATACTTGGTTGCTCAGGAGTTGGTAATGAAGGATAGAACAGAAAGGAAAAGAACATCTACTGA